TATAAATCTTGTAATTCGCAAGTCTAAAATTATAAATAAAAATAACGTGTGAGGACCACCTGTTCCTTCAAAAAAAATAATAATAATATAAACCAATAAGACAATTAATTATTAAATAATTAAACTGTTTTTAGTTAAAGAATAATTAAAAGTAAAATTATAATTATAAATATATAATAAAAATCTTTTTTATTTTATTTTTATTTTGTTAGAAAACAAGTTTATAAAAATAAAGCCTAAATCTTATTCAATTTGATAATAAGTTAAAAATATTATTTTAACAATAATTAAAAAAAGTAATGTTAAGAATAATTGAATTTGAAAAAAAAAATCAATAATTCAAATCCAACAATTATAAAATTAAATTAATATTTTTTTCAAGAAAAATTTTGTAAAAAATAATCTTAGATATTTTACAGTAAATATCATTATTTTAATAAAAATCAATAGCAAGACTAAAATTACAGATAGTAAAAAATAAGTATAACGATAATTATAAAAAATTTAAAACTTGTTTTACTAAAAAAATAGATTTTTCAATAATAAATAGAAGAAATTATAGTTTTATTATTATTATTTTTATATAAGTACATTTATGTAATTTTATTTTCATTCATTTTTCTTCTTATTTTATTTTCATGATTTTTATAAAAAAGCGATAACCCAATTTGAATTTATGGTACATAATGTTATAGAGGTAATTCGCAAGCAATAACCTTATAAAATAACTAGATCTTAACTCTATCCAATAGAAATCCCATGCTGTTAACAAGTAAGTTGAATTGAATAGGATTATATGGTAACAATTATCTTTTTTAATTGTATCGTTTCAATATGATTTAATAAATATGGTTGTGGGATTTTTAAAAATAAAATTAATATTCACTTGTGATTTCTAAATTTATGTCATAAGTTTATTGCACGATATACTGTAATAGTAAAGTAAAAAAATAACAAGTAATTTACGTTTTATTTGGAATAATTAGAATAGAGTTTTGCGGATTTGTGTCCATCCAGGGCGCCAAGAATTATTGATCATTGTTAGTCATAGTTTAGACTGCGGCGGTTGAGTGAGTCGCAGTATGTCGACATACTTTCATTGTAATGATCGGATGAGTAATTTTTTTAAGTTCGTTGGAAGACCTTAACTAGGCATCGTTAGAAACCGACATTCTGAACGATGTAAAAATTATTTACTATCAACTTAATGCATTGCACAAAAATTAAGAACAAGATGTGTGTGTCGCAGTAATCAATGCTACCAATTAATTACGATATTTGGTTAGGCGACAATACAGAAATAGTTCCTTTACCTTTACACAGATTTGCTGCGTGGATAGGGTTACGCAGCACAGTGATTCCATTTATAAAAAGATACATAAATCACCTCAGAAGAATGAACGTTTTCTCTTTACACAAGGAAGAATGAATCAAGAAGAAATAGAAGTTCTACAAACAATCTACAATAATGATTTTACATTTTCGAATACTCGACCTGTTTGGTATGGGGTAATGGTGTCGGTCGATGAAGAGAAACAAAATTTATTTGCCGAAGGTTCACTTTCTCAACAAAAAGACGAGATTTCAATTGTTGACCCACAATACGTTCAAGTTTTATTTAATTTACCGTTGGAATATCCATCGGTTCCTCTTGAATTCCTAATTGTTGGTCCTTTGTCATCGATTAATCAGTTACCATCGGACTTTTCATCCAGTTCACCGACTTTAAGTGACCGTGGTGATCCAATCACGAACAATGAAGATGGTCTGAAACATCTAGAAAAGCTCTTAAAAGATTGTGCGACCGAGTTGGCATCACGGGAGGAACCTGCGATGTATGAAATTGTAGAATTGACTAGAAATTGGTTATGGGATTACCAACAAAAATCGGTAAATCATCGACGTCATCAATATTTTTCAAATCGGTGGATTGGGGAATGGCTGGATAAGTTGTTTGATTGGCAAATTGCTTCTTATTCCCCATCCAGAGTCATGGATGCTCAATTTAAGGCAGAACTTAAAGTTATCGAAGATGTAGAAGAAGAGAGTGGTGAAAAGATTGAAATTGCTAAAGTCAGAAATTATTTGAGAGAGAGTCTTTGGAATGTCAACAAGGCTGTGCAGTCGATCGTTAAAAGTATTCGTGATGATTCCTTGGAAAACGCATCGCACATTAAAGAAAAAACGAAAGAAGTCATGGAAGACAGTGACGATGGGAAAATTTGCGCGATATGTTTTGACACTTTTCCTGCCGAGGAAATAACTACTTTTATGCCTTGTGATCATAGTACATGTAATGATTGTCTCATTCAATACCTCACTCTTAAAATATCCGAGAATCAAATTTTCTCAATGAGTTGTCCTGGAGCCGTTAAATGTAAAACCTTAGTAAGTCCAATAATCATTGGCCAATTACTTTCTGAACAGCTGATAAGCAAATATTATTCTTGCCTTCGCGATTCCTTTAATCAACTTCAACAACATCCCGAAGTTTCTAAACCTCACGTTCAACAACCCGTCAAAAAATTCTTATGGTGCATCAATCCAAAATGTGATCATTCATTATCAGTTAAAGTGCAATCTCTTCCGCAAAATCCGCCGTTATTCCATTGTTATGGATGTAGCACGACCTGGTGTTCGTCATGTGAATTAGTTGGTGGTCACTGGCCATCAACCTGTGTGGACCACGAAACGTACCTCCGCACAAATCACACGGTAAAACTTCCTAGTAAGCTTCCCAAGAAGTCGATTTCCGATATCTCAACTAAACCATGCCCCAAATGTCATATACACATATCTAAAGATGGTGGATGCATGCACATGTCATGTCAAATGTGTCATCATGAATTTTGTTGGGGCTGTTTGAAAGAATGGACCATGCGTTCTCACACTGGATTCTACATTTGTGATTCGATGCCGAACGGTACGGACGATGATGGTTTCCAAGGTAATAACACCTTTTCGGTATTTGATCTGGACGACATACAAACTACCCCAGGACAACTTCAGAAGAGATTCAAGAGTGGAGTAGTGTTATATTCTACTTCGCTCAAACAAGAACAAATGGAACTAGATTTACTGCTTAAGCACTACAGAAATGGATCCGATACCAGGGATATCAGGAAATTGAGAATTGAAATCACGCAGTTATTGGCACAATTGAATTATATAATGAAATTTGGTTCCATGGGATTTTTTACGAAATCGGATAAGGACGAACTAGAGGTGAAAAAAGGCGTGGAAATTATGCAGAGATTGGAGTTTGGGTTGAGCACCATGGAAAAGTTGAGAGATCAGGTGATACGAATTGATCGGGAAAACGTTGGAAAAGAGGAAGGTAGGGATAAATGCTACATGATGATGAATGAGGAGAAATTAAAAGGTTTGAGAGAGGAGGTAGAGAGATGCGAGGAGAGGTTAGAAAACAATATCAAGAAATTGGCGAGGATTCTGCATTGTTTGGACAGAATATGATATGATTCGCGATTCATTCATTCATTCATTTATTTATTTATTAATACAGTATATTAGAAACAGTTTTACGAAATTCCTAGATAAAAATTCAGAAAAATGACACCAGTTGTTTACGAAGCTAATGGAGAAGAGAAGAATGCAACATGGTCACTTTCGTGATCATCATGCTATCTTTTATATCATCTTGTAAATGATAATAATGACTTATAGTATATATGTATATATTGAGATTTTATTTAACTTAACGCGAATAATAAAAACAAACAAAAAAGCGTAATGGTTGTTCATGTGATAGTAGTAGTACAACATCATATGGTCATGAAAAATTGAGAAATTGATATACAAAAAAAAATTATAAATGCTGATACAAACACAATTCAGGTTTGTAAATAATGTCTTCTCGTCCACTATCCCTAGTTTGGTCACCTCACAAAGGATCCAACCAATTTTTGGTTGATTCTAATAATGATTTGAGGTTATATGAATATAATCCAAAGGTTCGCTCGTTTCGTTCAAGAATTCCTTATTTGGTCACTTCTGTTGTTGATTTCATTACCATGTTAAATTGCCATTATTTGTTCAGGAACCGACCAATTTAAATTTTAGAACTATTGTTCTTCCTCCTCCCGATCCTTCTTCTAGATTGACGGTCTGGATTCTTAATTTTATATGTTTTCGATTCCATGACAACTTGATTCAATTGAATTTATCTCATTTTCATTTAGTATTACGCGTGGTCTCCGGACAGTAATTATAAAGGTCTTTTAGCCGCCGGTTACTCGAATGGCAAAATTTTCTTGGGGAACTTTTGCGATGAGGACCAGATTTCCACGAACGCATCTATAAGCATCCAAAGACAATCTCATGGTACATTGTCCATTAAATCCACTAGATCATGTAATGCAATGGCGTTTTGTCCATATGAACCGCGGCTTTTGGCAGTAGGATATGAAAGATGGAGGACCGAATATTCTCTGTTGATATGGGATGTCGAACAAGCAAGAATTATAAATAGTTTTGGAGATAACAAAAATTCCGGTGCAAATAGTTCGTTTAATGAACCTTCCATTAAGATTGGAGGCACCAATGGGCCGAACTCGCAGAATGACATTGGTGATTTGGGAATTCAAGGAACGATGGTCGCAGCAGATGGCCAAGGTTGGAAATAAATGGTTTCTGGAAAATCTTTTATCATCGTATTTTAGAATAAACAAGAAAAATTTCTTTTGTGATTCAGTAATTTCGCGTCCTTCAATTGTAACCAGGTGAATATTTTTAATGATTTTAGGTTCACCTTTTCCAATCTATTGATTGTTTCTTTCCTCCTTTCGCACAAAAACCAGTCATAGCCGCATTGAAGATATGCGACCAAAGAATACTTATGGTTTTGGAGAGAATGTTGTATCTTGTTCTTGGTATTCAAATAGAAAAAGATTGGTATCTGGCGTGCAATCAAAGAATTTGAAATTTTATGACTTAAGAAGTATATAATTTTGTCGAATCTTCATTAATAATTTGTGATTACAAGGTTATATACAATAACACATATGCTTTAATATAGAGGAAGGTCATACCCACGTGATACCTACGAGAGCTGTTTATGGTGTGACGGGAGATCCTCATCGCGAACACCGTATTGCTAGTTACGAAGATGGGAATATCTATTTATGGGATGACCGTAAATCCACAGAATCGATATCCTTTTTTTTTTGTTGATCGATGTGAATTCAGTTGCAAAATCCAATTATTATGTCTTGACATTTATTTTTAATCTTATTACTTATTAAGTATACCGGCAAGGCCCAGTCAAATATCCTTTTCACCAACGCGCGCAGGTTTTCTTGCCTCTCTAGAAAAGGATTCAAATTACATAACGTTATATGACATAGAAGATTGTGTGCCGAATATTGCACCGGTGCCATTAAATAGGAATCCATCTTTTAACGGTACCGATTCAGTGTTGAACGAGGTTCCGCCCGTAAGAAATGTTGCCGGATACGTGTCTGCAGGTTGTTAGGAGGTGGTGTGGTGATAATTGGAATAGTCTGAGTGAGAATTTGAATGATGACATTTTGAAAATTAATTAGGAATGACAGATGACGAATCCGGCATTCCAATTTTATGGAAATCTAGGAGAAGTGAGTTTTCGGCATATTATGATGTAATTTTCATATTATTTTCAATTTATTGAGAACAATTTATTATACCCAACGATTCCAGTTAATGCCAATTCACCAAAAAATCTTGCTTTATTCTCGTGGATATCAACCTTCACATCACCGTACAATCATTTCATGACCATAAACAAAGATGTCGAATTGAGGCCTCTATTTATGGAAGAGGCTCCTCCGTTCAATTGGGGATCCGGCGGTAGCATAGTTATTTCTAAAGCAAAAAGTTTTTTTGAACTTGATCCAACACACGAGGAAACTCTGGAAACAACCAATGAACGCCATGTTGAGCATCCTGAAGAAAAAAAGAATAGCCTGTCGGTCAAGGGAGACGCTGGACAGAAGCAACGTGTCTCTTTAAATCCGAAATTAGATCACTATGAAGATACATCACGACCTTATGATATGAATAAAGATTCGAATGCTGTCTCACCACAGCAATTCAAAAGTATATTGACAAATCAGAATCACAAATCACGAGACGGAGAAATGGATGATAATGTGTTATTGGTATCAAATACGTTGAACTTGATGCAAGAGGATATTTCGGTAGTGATGCATAAACGGGCGATGAGCGGGTATTCGATGACCGTAAGTTTTACTATATTAGTGTAAGTGAAGGTGATTAATTGTAAATGGACCATTGAATTCCAAACAATGATTTTGTAACTTGATAGTGTCAAGTAAATGAAGAAATTGTGAAAGAAGCACCGATGTTAAAGGCTTTATGGAGTTGGATAGCTCGTAAGCGAACATAACGTTTATTTGATTTTTCAACAATTCGTCAGCTACAAATTTTGATAAACGAATCTTTTCAAATGTAGAGGCCGAAAAGCTTGCAGATGGAAAAGCAACGATTGGGAATATTGACCATAGCTATCATGGTGTTTATTCAGTGTGGACAGGTTAGAATTGATTTTAATCTAGTATGAAATTTCACGTGTTTTTATACTTTACCTTATCACCTTTATTCATTAATTTCCATTGCAGCGCCGGCTGCTATAATAAAACAATCTCCCAAGCCTTCTCTGAGAACTGAAGAAGTAATAGGTCCCGAAACTTCAAATGATAATGATACGTTCACAGTCACCACTTCAAAATTACAGCAAAGGAAATTGTCGCTGACCATATGTGGTTGGGGATTTGAAAAAAATGAGTTGGAGAATACGCTTCTCAAGTTAGTTGGTAAAATGAATTCAAGAAATGTTCGTGCAAATAAATAATGTTTTTGAAATTTTAGAATGGAGCAGTCTGGTAATTTTGAAAAGGCTGCAGGTTGGGCCCTGTTCCACGGAGAGACAGAACGAGCCATCGAAATTTTGAACAATAGTCAAAGTATCAATCAATGATTATCACTTATATTTGATACTTTCGTTTTAACTTTATTGATCACGTGTTTACATTTGACATTTTAATTGAAAGATGAGCGGTTGAAATTAGTGTCCACTAATCTCGCCAGCTTTTATTTGAGCAATCGAGAAGAATATCGAGAGAATCAGCTTTGGCAGAATATATGCAGGAGTTTAAGTTACGAAATGGGAGATCCTTATCTACGGGCAATGTTTTCGTACATGGCTTCTGGTAATTGGGATGATGTGCTACGAGAAGATGAGCTTGAGCTACGGGATCGTGTTGGCGTGGCGTTAAGATTCTTAGATGATGATAAGGTAGCTAACAATATCTTCATATTTATCCCTTCGTTTTTGCATTTGGATGTGCATTTTATGACTTGATTCCATCAATAAATTAGTTAAGTGCTTATCTATATGAAACCACCGAGAACGTTAAAAAAACAGGAAACGTTGCCGGGGTAATCTTGACAGGATTGACTCCCGAGGGAGTAACCTTATTTGAAAATTATGTGAACAAT